GTTCTGATAACAATTATTCACTATTATATCACAAGAGACCTATCCCCATCTCCTTTCATCAGCTCTGCCCAGACAGATGGGATACTACTCAGTGGAGATTCTACCCTCCTCTGCACCCTCTGCATCTAGGCTCCCTCTTGAAAGCTTGTAAGCCAGTCACTTCTTGCCTTTGTAGTCCCCACCCCCCCCATTTTGGGTAGCCAATGTCCAAATTGCCCATCCCTGTCTACTTTGTGTATGGAGGGGGTGGGAATGATTCTCACTGTAAAGATTTTATCCCTCTTTTTTTTTTTTCTTAAATGTTTTATTGTGAATTATGTGATAGTTTACATGGCAGAACATTAGTTTTACATTAATTCTATCGTATATCATCTCATTGCCATAGTTACAATCCCCTCCATGCAATCCTTCCCCTGTACCCCCCAGGTCTTCAGCACATATTAATGTAGTTTTGAGGATTTTTGTTTTCTTTACATTGAGGTGCAATCCATACTAAACTTTGTAGTCTTTGATCTTCCTAGTAAGTATTTTAAATCCTCTTAGCTTTCAGCAAGCAAGGTTGTATCATCTGCATATCACAGATTGCTAATAAGTCTTCAATCCTGATGCCATGTTATTCTTCATATAACCTAGCTTCTTGGACTATTTGCTTGGCATACAGATTGATTAATAATGGTGAAAGAATACAACCTTGGTGCACACCTTTCCAGATTTTAAATCACTCAGCATTCCCTTGTTCTCTTCAAATTACTGCCTCTTGGGCTTTGTACAAGTTCCCCATGAGCACAATTAAGTGTTCTGGAATACCTATTTTTTTATAACTTGATAAATTTCTTTATTTGTCGGCCTGTTCAAGTTTTCTACTTCAACCTGTGTTCAGTTTAGGTAGGTCATGTGTTTCCAGAAATTTGTCCATTCCATATAGGTTTTCAAATTTATTGGAGTACAATTCTTTGTAGTATTGTTATTATCCTTTTTATTTCCTTTGATCCTGCTGTGATATCACCTATGTAATTTCTTATGCATGTTATTTGTTTCTTCTCTTCTTTTGTTAGGTTTTCCAGTGGTTTGCTGATTTTATTAATCCTTTCCAAGAATCAACTTCTTGTCTATTTCTTTCAATTGTTTTTCTATTTGCTATTTCATGTATTTCTGCTCTTATGTTTATTATATTATTTCTTCTGGTGACAGTAGGCTTACGTTACTGCTATTTTTTTCATTGTTGGAGATGTTGTGTTAGTTAAGGTGTTGATTTTGGTTCTTTCTTTATTTATGTATTTGTTGCTATAG